GATAGGCTGGCTGTTTACTAAAAAGTTAGATTACGGTTGTACTTGCAATCAACTTCATACCATCCTGCGTATATTGAAAGAAATTTCTGTTTGTCACAATTTTTTAAAATTATTTCGAGAGTTCGAGTGCGACGGAATCACAAGCTTTGCAGGGGATCTTGTAAACAACATCTTTTTTTTGTATCGAAGTAGCCAACCCTGTCCTTGGCATGTACAAGCTGAACACGTAAAGTAGTCGTTAGTTTGTGCGCCACTTTTACTTTTCATTTCCTCAAGTGCCTTTCAACGGGATCAGACACATTTCTTATATAAGGAAGGATTCGCCATTTATTTCTTTGTGGCGCCTGAGTGGAACTATCTCGTTCCCTTTCTGTAGGTTGTTGTTGTTTCATGCATTGGTGTATAAAATCTCTGGGGTAACCATTCTGGGAAAACAAATTAAACAGATAATTTAGCTCGACTTGGTAGGTTACTTCGTCAGAGCAGTGTGCCTTCGCTCGGCGTAGCAGACTGTTGACAGCACTCCTGTTGTGAGAGATGGGTTTGCTGCTCTCTTACTGTATTCCTTTTCTACTCTTAGGCCCAGGTAGCGCTTTTGGTTCCAGGCTTCGTTCCGTATTGCGTGCCCCATATTGAAATTTAATCTGGTGTGTATGTGATATATGCCAGATTCCTAAGTAGTTGATGCCATTTATATACGCGTATTTTAGAGTTCTTGGTGAAGACGTCGTATATAATTATTCGTTTCGTAATCCCTTTTGAACCCTATTCGGCTACTGTGTAAACCGTTTTTACAAAATTTCCTAGACCATTCGTGAGTGGTAAGTTCACTGTACACAAAACAACGACTTACGCAACTGCAACTTCTTGCTTTGAGTCATGCCCACCTTTGCGTTCTCGTTTTCAAAAGCGAGGGAGCTTTTGCGACGATAAAAATCAAGTAATTTGCCTTACCCTGCTTACCTGTGTTTATACCCTACCAATCAGCAAGGAGGAGATCGAAGCCATGAAGAAGCACGATCTCTTGGAAGAGCTGTTAAAAAATATGGCCGGCTCCTTCCCGGAACTGTCGCGCGTCATTCTTGAAGAGAGGGACCTCTATTTGGCCCGTTCCATCTGGGAAGTGTGTGGTTTTCCACAGACTCCTGTCGCGCCACCCTCCAATCCCAAAGATGGTGAAGGCGACAGCGACCAGTCAGTTGTTCACCGTCACCAAGGCCAACAGCAGCCGTCCCCCACCTCCAGCCCCGCCACCAACGCTTCCCACGCGGTTGAAGAGGAGACTGAGGCAACGACGGAGAAGAAGGAGGAGGCAAGCGGAGATGTCGAGGACGCCTCCGGCGAAATCCGCTGC